CACAAAAAAAAAAAAAGCGTGCAGTGGATCTGACAACTGCTTTTAAAGTTCTACAAATAACCTATAACTTGCCTGGAAAAGTGAATAAAGATCTATTATTAGATTTAGTTTGAAAGATTTTGTTACAACTATTGTATCTAAGAATGAATATGAGTGCAAGGCTAGTTTTTAAAAAACAGTTACATGTTTTGCTTATAATTATAGGGAGCTCATATCATAGCATGATCACCATGATGATCAAAGCATGACAAGATAGGCTCTAAGGTTTGACTTTGTCACATCTCTACACGCTGTCATAAGCAACAAGGCCCTCATTGCCCATGGGCTCATGGCTTTTCTGCACACAATGATGTGGTTCCTCTAATTGGACACATTCATACTATTGAAAGTTGACTTATACACTTATTGCTTATTTCTCTTTGTCTGTTGCCCACCAGGGAACTTGTCCCATCATAGGTGTTTCTGTAGAGTTACATATCTCTTATCAGCTGACACTATCTTCAAATATGGTTGGCAATGCAATGACTGTCCCACGTTTATTAGGTGCTGGTGAAGTAAGCTGAAAAAAGAGACAACTGCTAAGAGCATGATTTAATATTCAAAACTGAATAAATAATAACCTCATTACTATTTGCACCAATATTGTGGCTTAAGAAATTCTGGGCCTGATGATCGTACCAACAGTACGCTGATTAAAACACCATGGAGCTGGTGCATGAATGGTCTCAGTAAGATGTCCACGTGAATGGAATTAATCTCCCTCACGGCTGGATAAAACTAGAGGTAATACTGTTTCAGTTTTTGGTTTGGAGAGGTGGAAACATTTTCTGGGAACAGAGCGTCTTTTAAGGTTTGAGTTCGAATAGATGCCTGTAATATTACTGAAGACTGCACGTGCATTCAGAACACTGCTCTCAGATGCATGACTTCTTCAGCTTGACTATGAAGAACATAACACAGGCTACAGAAACCTAATGGGTTTTTCTGATGATTTTTAGTTCCACATTTACTATAAATAAAGGCAAATTTGTTTGTTTGTAGTTACATACTCTAACTAGAATTGTTATACAGATATCTGGCTCATTTACCCTGCATACATACCTACTAACATACTAATCTATGCAGGACTGAAATAATATTGGACTGTCATTTTGAAGACTAGATCCATATGAATAAGTAAGAACTAAGAGATGAAACAGTTTTTCTCAAGACTACCTGCTCAGAAGAGACTCCAAGACCAGCAACAGTTGCTTTCTCTTACAGATTGTTTCACCCAGATTCAGATTTCAGTCTTCTTCCCTTCTCCTCTCACACTCATTTACCTTGATTAAGTACTACCTAATCCAAGCAAGAAGAGAGACAGCCCTTCCCTCCCCTAAACCACTGGCCATGGCTTCCACTTTGGAGCTGCCCTCAGTCCTTCAGCCAGCTGGAAGAGTTTCACGTATTCAGACAGAAGTGAGGACCTACTCCCAAACTTGCCTTACTCCTTAATGAATTGTTCATGGAGTAGGAGGTACAAGATCCTTTCCTACTGGCAAGGAAAATGCTCCCTATTGGTGTGAAACTTTTTTATAATTAATCCTTGTTTTTTTTACCTAAATATATTACTTGGTTATGCTTTGCAGAAACAAGATTAATGCAAGTAGCTCAATATTCTCTGGGCTGAGACAAGACATGCAGACTGTCAGTCTATCTTCCCACTATGCCAAAGAACACCCAATGCCATTAGGCCCATCAAACTTTCCAGCTTTATCTGTGAAAGATTCTGTGATACCAAAAGCAACCAAAAGCACACTGCACAATTTTCTTTATTGGTCATTATTATCAATGGACCTCAGCTTTTAAATCAAGAAAGGAGCCACTGTGATAAATACATTTACATGTTTTTCAGCTAAGGACAGTCCACCCAAATATGGCGATCTACTTGACTAGACATGAGATTAAAAAACCTGAAACTATCCTATAAGGAAATCTGAAAGTATTGCTTCATCTGGGACTGCTCTCTTCAGCAGCTGGGCTTCAGGATACAGTCTTCATTCATATATGCCCAATTTTCGTGCCCACAAACCCTGATGGGCTGAGATGCTAGCAGGTACACACTGAAGCACAAAAACCTACAAATCTGCACTGTAAAAATGTGTAGGTTTTAAGTATAGCTATGATGTTATTGAAATCTCAGATTTCAGGACTTTAGTCCTCAGCTGAGAAGTGCCATTTGGCCAACTGAATCAGCCAATACGTTCAAATTTATTCTCTGTGTTAGACATATATTCACTTATTCGTGTGTATGAACTCCAATAACTGCCTTTATTTGTTTTGTATCTTTCTTTTTTTTTTTTTTTTTTTAAAGATATCTTTTTTTGCATTTGTTCTACACTGGTTTGAATTAAGAGTGGTTTAAATTAAATAAAGTGTTTTCCACTTAGAGACATGTTTACCTCTAATATGGCAACGCTGGAACAGTCATACAGAGCTCACCTCCCTCCCATACCTGTCCAAGCCTACAGAACCCCTACTGTGCCTGCAACTACCTACAAAACTGTATTCTGGTAAATTCTAGTTAAAAAGTGTCTGCACTTTTGAATGTTTGTTTGGCATGAACAGAATTCTGATATATTTTGTGATGCTTTATTTGTTATAGTTTGTTATAGTGTTTTATTTCCAAAAAAGTTAAATCTCTGTAATAGCAAAAGAGAAGAGTCTCAGTATATTTCTTAAAAAAGCTTTAAAATCTTTCAAAGAGGAAGGACAATAGAGTAGGGAAAGAAGGAAACAAGAACACAGTAAAACAATAAAAAGTTGTCTTAACATCAAACCAACATGTATTATAAGCTTTAGCTACACTGTCATACCTTGTTGTATGAGCACTAGTGGAAATGCAGATGGGTGATTACCCAAGGGCACTACCATTTTTCAAAATTAGCTGTTCCATTTATTTAATATTTTGGAAACAATCCATGAAGTTTGCAAAATTTCAGTTTATTGCTACTAAGGTCACAGTAACACGGGCTTTTCTTTTGCAATCCATGAAGAAAATCAGAAAGACAATATATATGATATATAGGGAGTATTGCAACATTAAGCCAATACAACACTCAGTGCTGGTCATTATAGATTCATGGCAATGAGGTTTTAGGTTAGTATTCCAAATCACACTTGTATACTGAAGGATGTGAAAGTCATACCGTTTCCAGTGAAACAACATAGTACATACAGACTTGGCAGATGCCTGACTTCTACAGTTTTTGACAGTCTCCCAAATTTAGGACTAGAAATGTCAGACTGACCCTGCATTTGGTAGGAATAATAGAAGTTCTGGTTTTATCAAACTGCACTTGAAGTAAGATCACATTTCCCTTAAAAAAAATCTCCGATTTTGTAATATTAATATAATATTTGCATTTATAAACCAACAGAAAATTTAACTGTCCTTAACTAAATTTACTGTGTTGTACTTTGGGATTTGGAGTCAGTGAGGCTCTGGGAGTCATACATCACAAAAATGAAATTAAATTGGTGGTGCTTGCATATGGCAATATTTTTCATCTGCCAGAATACCACAAATTAAATGAGAAAAAAATGAGAGCTTTGAGAAAGTAATAAAGCTCTGTGTTCATTTGTTTTGTCCTGTATCACTTCTATCACCAATGCTAAAAACAGAGCTGTTGACTCTGCTGCTATTATCAGAAAAAAGTATCAACAGCTTAATACCATCATGAACCTGGCAGTATATGAGATAAGACTAAACTTTTTAAAGTTTAAAGCAATGAAGGGCTTAATTGATCCCCCTAAAATCCACATTCTTCTTTTCTCTCATCTTCTGACTTCATTTCTGAGTCAGACACAGAGAGGGTGGAGTGTACTAATTCTACCCAGGCCATTTGACCAGGCAAGAAGCCCAAGAAAAATGATTTTTCCATATACTAATATTAATAAATAGTGGAATCTCAAAGTTCTTTTGCAAGACTCCAACTTGTATTTTGAACTTCACACTATAAATTCATCTCAATTTGCTGTTTTTAAATAGCTATTTTCTCAAGGCCCTTGTAGTATGGCTTCGTCTTTTAAATTGTATTGATTCTGTTTTTTATGCCTCTCATTGTTATCATTTTCTTTCCTGTTTTCTTTATATTCTTTATGTTCTTTGATTTAACAGTATAGGTGTATCAAAATTATACATACAGTTTCTCCACGGAGATCATGAAGAATTTTTGCAATAAACTCAATGGAAATGCATGTGTTTGGGTTAATATTGAGACAGGTCTATCTTGCTAAGGTTCTTGAGGGGTTGTTCCTCTCCACACCCTACAGTCTCAATCTCAGTGTACTACCATAGGAATGAACAGCACACATACTTCTCTTGCATTCACAAATCAACTCCATCTAGCTACAATATTCCATAGCAAAATAGTTCTGATTGTTACTCTAATTGAATCAGCTGATCTTTAATCTTTTCTTCTTTTTCACCTGCATTTAACTGTCTCCATTCCCCTTTACCCTGGCAAAATAACTTATTCTTCAAATTCCTACCTCCGTTTCCAGAAATCAACTTTACAATGACTTCCAAAATCTCAGATATGCCAAGTGAGGACTATGAGCAAACAACTGATGGTCTAACGCACAAACACCAGAGCAAGAAGACTCTGGTGAATGCTGGGCCCTTTCTAGAATGCAGCTTTACTCAAAATAATCAACAGCCTCTCTAGATCGTATTTATCTGCATTTGGATTCAGGTGTAACAGAAATACAATGCTTGTATACACTTTACCAAGAGCTCAGGGAGACTCCTACTGAAAGACTCCAAAATTATTAAAGGTATGAATTTGCAACGGATGATTACGTCCTGTGCTGTAAATGAAGCATCCTATCAGTCCTATCAGTCCTTTCCAACATTAACATGATCCAAGGTATTGTGCCAGAAATCACTTTTATATTTCAAATTAAAAAAAAAAAAAAAAAAAAAAAAAAGAAGAAGAAAGTAAAGTAGCATTTCTTACTTTCGACGGAACATTTCTGCAAATATGCAACCAACACTCCAAAGATCAACTGGTGTTGCATAGCTGGACTGAAGCAAAACTTCAGGAGCTCTATACCACAAAGTAACAACCTGAAAAACAAAAAGAAAGGTAAGTTACAGCAAGCTTAGCTGTAGAACTAAAATCTCAGAAGTGTTACTGCACACAGATCCAATTTAACTTCATCCAAACTGCAAAGGCAAACTTATTTGACCAGGATCTTGCATGGAGAATCTACATATGGGTAAGCTGCAATAACAATGAATCAGGTAGTATCATTTCCCCAGAACAGAGCAGTTCAACAGTACAACAAAAATGTAGTATCATAGTTAAGCATTGGTATGGTACTACAATATCCCAGAACACTGTCAGAACAGCTCTTTGAACTCTATGCAACTTACAGAACCCAAATGTTTTCCAATGGATGTTCACATTCTCTGTAGAGCAAACATTAGACTGTTGATCAAGGGCCGCTTTTCTTAAACACTTCATTAGACTTCCTGGGTGTCATCACCCTAGTGCCAAATTGGAAGCCAGGAAGTTAAAGAATCCTGTAGGTTTACCTGTGAGATAAATCAGAACCTGTAGCCCATGTTTATCCTAAGCAGCATAGCACTGGGATCCTTGGCAGGTTCCTGACCTTCAGCTCTGTGACTGTCTCTGTTCATGTGCCATGGGTAACAGCAGCACTAACTTCTCCCACAACTTATTTCCAAATGATATAGTCTTTTCCAGGGACATATGCCACGTAAAATGCCTGCTTTCAGGCAGTCATTCACGTTGCAATGTGTCGTAGAGACACAGCTGGAATTTCACTGACACTGCTTCATTGATGGAGTTTGATGAGTCCTGCACACTGGACCCACAACAGAGATGGGACACTTCATGTTTACTCTTTTGTTTCTCATAAATCAACCAAATACAGATGAGGCTGACTGTATCTTCAGTACATTTACAGAAGAACACGAAGAGCTTCCTTAGAGTCTTGAGTGAGCTACTATGTAGCTAAAATATAACCTCAGAGCCAGAGGAGTATCCTGCTCCTGCGTGCATGCACTTATAATACAACACAGGATTGTCAGCTAAATGGCAATATATTCTCAGTGCATGCTATAATTTAAATTTCTGTCAATATTAACTTATGGGCAGGAAGGGTATCAAAAATTACTAGTTTCTTTCTCCAACTAACACAAAAGCGAGTATTGGGAAATGCAGTGTACAGGAGAAGCAAGACAAAGCAAAAAAAAAAAGAAAAGAAAAAGAAAAAGAATGAAGTGCGCCGATAACACAAAAATAACTTAAAAATTATGTTAAATAGAATGAATTCTATGGTGAATTCTATATATGAATTCTACTGGTACAAAGATATGTATAACAAGAGTGTTTTTTTTTTTTTAAACGATAACCATATAATTGTCTTCTAAGCATAAGTAACAATGGAAGCAATCAGTTGAATTTGCCGGTCAAAGCCAGCAGAAACAAAAGCAAATACAGCGTTTATTATGATCATTACACGCCCCAACAGCCTTTGGAACTCCTGAAAGGCTACTGAAGGGAGGTTCACGGATATTTGCACAAGTGGTCATATTTGCTAACAGTCCTCTTAAACGCTTTGATCTCTATTTATAAAATTTGTCTTTGAAACAGTTCAATAACACGGTGCAAAGTACCGCACCGGCAATCTCAATTCCAGCTACCTGTCCTCATAACCAGATTCCTGTACGGAAGCTGAGCACTAACTCTATTTGCCTTGCTCCTGATTGGGTAGCGTACCAATGATGTTTTTCCAAAATGTTTCCCTGCCTATGAAAAAAGGTAAGGCTTCTCCAAAGATTCAGAACCAGGACAGAAGACATATATGTAGCACAACGTCAGGGAATTTTTACTGGAGCTGCCCTACTCAGGTAGGCAATTACCAGTGGCAATTACTCCTACAATACATGCAGGGTTTTGGTGATGCAGAATCTCTCTCGAGCTCTGATCTGCACTTTCACTTTCTCAGGAAACTTGTGGAAAATCTTTCTGAAGAAACATTGGTTTGAGAAATCAAATATAACAAGTTCAACTAGTGCCAGCTGAAATACCACCGCAACCCACCATTCCCAGTTTGAGACCCTCACGGCTCTTCTCGTACGAAGTGAAAAGACGCTTTATTTCCTCCAGTTCCACATTAAGGACTGTGAGGATGTATGCGAGACAGCTCGGTGAGCCCTGCTGACAACGTACGCCCCACCCTAAGTGCCATTTCCTGGGAAATGCAGCACAGGGGCCACAACGCTCCTGAGAGGCGCCTCGCAGCTCTGCATGCCCTGCACTGCTTGGGGAGCACTGCTGCTTCCAGAAGGCTGCAGGCATGCAGCGTGCCGGCTGCCTCTCCCACGTGGCCGCACGCTGGCACAGCTCCCCAGCACGCACCCTGCTGCCCTCAGTGCACGTGTTTGCAGGGGAGCGGGAGATTTTGCTTCTGAGTAATTTGGAAACTTAAACCTTAAGAAAGTGATTTCCAAAGTCTTGTAGATCAACTCCAGCAACTGCCTGATGGCTTTGTAGTCAGAGAGGAAGTGATCTGTGAAGTGCTGTTCTGATATGCTCTGCCATTATGGCAATTATAAAAGTGATCAAGTAACACTTATGGTTTGTAATATGCAAAACTGCATTTCAAAACCTGAATGTGAAAGGGCTCAACGTTTACTAAAGGTCAGTTTGCACACAAGTAATGCCACATATGGCTTCTTCATTGCTCAGGGCCTTCTGCAAAGCATGAGTTGTGCAGATGATGCAGTGCTTCTGACACAGAGTTTCACACTCCCTTTTGCTTACCATAGAAACCAAGAAAATATTTGTGGACATTCCATTAACATTTGCAGATAAGTAGAAACGAAAATTATTCTGAACACAGGATATGGTGGCTGAACAACTAGATCATCACTTCCTCTTTAGTATGGTTCTGACTGAGAATGAAAAAATGCTTTGCTCAGGTAAGCCACATCACCAGTAAGACGCGCCCTCCATGCATGGCAGCAAGCACTTTGGTGCTGCTTCCTGACACAGCCCCCTTTTTAGGACCAAAATCTCAAATTTCTGCTCTGTTACACTTTGCTTAAATTCTGCCGGCCCTGAAAATTTGCCACTTGTAATGTGGCAGCTGGTGACCACTCTGCAGGAAAAGGCATTTGTGCTCATACGCTGACAGAGATCCTAATGCAGTGCAAGGCTCCTGTCTACCTCTGAGGTTGCAGGCCTCAGAGAGCATGCTGCATTTTAGCCCTCTCAGCTAATGAACTTCCTTCTGTTGCCTCTTCCCTTCCCCTCACCCGCCCAGCTTCTTTATCCCCTCTCTTGCTCCAGCCAGGTTTCTTTCAGCTCTTCTGAACCCCAGCTCCTCTCCCAGTTCTGCCACATACCAGTGGTTCCCTGATGTCACCAAACATACTTAATCCAGTGCTGCACATGAAGTGGACATAGTCTGCTTCCTGAGCTCCTCAGAATGTCATACTTGGTTTCCTCTTCTTCCAGCTGCCCCAAATGCTCCAGAGCCAAATTAGCTCCTTTTCCCCTTTAACCAGTCTTTAGATTTTCTGCTTGTTCTGCCAGTCCCCAGGATATCACGACTTTTGTATTTTCTACAGATTAGTCTACATACAAGAAAACAGAATATTTTGCACGCTGAGACCTAAAGGAGAAACTTTACTCCATTTCCACTGTACATTTTGTGACTCTACTATCCAGATGGGATGATAACAGTTGAAGAACAATATCAGTAGCGAGTGCTGCTTCTTATAATTTAAATATCAATAGATTTAGGCAGCATGTCAGAATGAAAATAAATGAAATATATATCTAAGAGGCATGAGAAAGGTAAGAATATCTGCAAAATTGTACCAGTGCTGTGTTGGACTTGCAATGAATGAAGATGGCAATGTGCTCAGTCAGAAATAAAAAGCTGTATTTACAGTCTGAAGAAGGATACTTTTTCTCTGAAATAAAGCTGTCTGCCTTATTATACCTGACAGACATTGCTATCTGGGACCACCTAGCCCCAGGAGGTTCACTCCTGCACTTCATGATTCCTATTTCTGATGTAAAATCAAATTATGGTACATATCTGTTCAGTAGCATTGCAAACACAAGACCTAGGCATCGTGTCTGTCTCAGTTAATTTCCATTTACTTTACAGAGCAGATTTTCACTTCTGGATATCTGCTTAATTTAAAGGGATCTGTGCAATGCACAACCCTTTCCAAATATAGTTGCTGTCTGAATAGCATACAGTTCAAAAAAGACAAAGACAAACAGAGGTTTAGGGATGGGGTTGAGTAACAGAGACACAAAAGACTACATTTCGGTTTGCCACAGACTTTAAGTACAGACCAATGCCCAGTTGCACAGCTACAGGAACAAAGCAGGGATCAGACTGTAACACAGCGGCTATGTCTGTGCTGGGAAATTAAATGGGACAGGAAACGTTCCTTTGGCACGGAGACCAACAGGCACAGAGTGGCCTATGTCCATGTTACTAAATTCTCAAGCCTTCAAAAAAAGGTGACCGCATGCAAACTGCTTATTGGGAATGGTCTTTGGTCCATGCTTAACTGTGCCTAGGAACTGTCTGGGGGAAGGCTAGTTGGCATAACTCAAAACCGTGCCAGGAACCATTCTAATAATTTAACAGTATAGACAATTGAGCTCCAGTACCCACGAATGCTTCCTGGCACTCTTTAATCCACCAGCCAGTGAGTCAGACTGTGGCCCCGCGTCTTCCTTTCACTTCAGAGAGAAGGCATTTTGCTATGCTTCTCTCATCCCCACAGAACCAGGGGCTCCAAGAGGGTGGCGGGTGTGGAACCAGGGCCCACTCCTCATCCCACCCCATTCTGCTCCCAAGGGGTAATGATGAGCCTTGCAGGAACGCTGATTTCCCCTCCCTTTTCCTTTACTGAGCAGAAGGAAACCAGGCTGGAGGCAGTCAGAACTGTGATTAAATGATGTGATTTGAAATGTTGCGAAAGTTTGTGCATAGAAACCAATGAAATAAATTGAACAACATGAAAAGAGAGAACTGTTTCTTCTGCTTTTGTATCCTATATCAGTA